AGTGCAGTAATTGTACCCATCTTCTTATTGCTGACCCGAATTCTAACTTAGCTAAGCAAGCATCCAAGAAACTCCAATCTACATGATCATATGCTTTTTCAAAATCAATAAATATACAAGCCGTATTTTGTTTATTTTACCTGGATATTCTGATCATCTCATTGACTAGTAACACATTATCCTGAATATTTCTCCCGTGAATGAAACCTGTTTGGGAGGGATGAATAATGTCTGTCATTATTGGAATAAACCTATTAGATATGGCTTTTGCTAACATTTTGTACACCATTGTCAGCAAGGTGATTGACCTATAATTCCTTATGTTGGTTTTGTCTCCTTTCTTATATAGTAATGTTAGTACCCCTTTAGCAACAATTTCCCCCATAGTGCCAACTATTTGAACCTGTATGTAGTATTCCATTAGATCTTCTGACATTGGAAACCACGTTGCTTCCCAGAATTCTTTCGGGAGACTATCCACCCCAGGGGTTTTATCTTCCTTCATTTGCAGGAGCGCCGTCCAAATTTCCTCCTTGGTAATTGGTTCCTCAATTTTCTCCCTTTGCTCCCCGAGTCAATAAGTGGGTAGCAGGGTCAGTACTCAGAGACAAACAGTATATTCACCGAGGTCTAATAAAGGCGCATTTTATGGGAATAACCGCCACCAAGAAGGCAGATGTTGACTGTTACAGACTCAACCGAAACCTTTCGAGCAAGTGAATAAGTCACCCTCGTGGGCTGACCTCCAACCCACTTTCTGTACACTCTCCAGCGCGTCCACCCCGTGTTTTCTCTCTCTCGCAACCCGATGAGTCACGGCCCCGTAGATCTATAATTGTTGCACCTACCTTTGTGCCAACGATGACATCAACGAGAGGGGAGTCCGTCGCCTAAGCTCACCGCCAGTATCCACACCCCCGAATCATTCTCCCTCTCGCACTTGATCATCCTCGACTTTTTCTCGTGACCCCATTTTGTGTCTCTTGGTCCTATCGTCGTCAAGAGCTAGCCTCTGGGACTTTCTCGACTGGTGTTGCGGGTGGGTGGTCTCGGCGACACTGGTCCCACCCGTGCCAGGATTGGGTGGCCTACGCGTCACTCATCTCAGACTCCCCCTCAGAGTCCCGGTCAAGACGCTGCTGCTCTCTCTTCGTGGTCCAAGTAGACGAGTCGTCCTCGTGATAAGTGACTGTCACCCATATAGTCGCAGTCACTCCGTCCCGTCTGCACCTTCGCACAACTCTATTGTAGCTTTCGTGATAGTTGCTTGCAGCCCCTCATGTCCAACCTGCCAGGAGGTATGTGACTGATGGGTAAGGAGTATTAAGGAGCGCAGCGCTACCGGGAGCGTTGCGCCCCGTCCCATGATGCGGTATACATAGGTGGGCCGTAAGGACGGCGCGCGGCGGCGATGGTGGTCATCTCTTCTGTAAACTAGGCGCTTAGCGCACACATAGGTGATCGAAGGCGCTTGACCACGCCACGTCACAGGCTGGCGTGTTAGACAATCTAACTCCCATTTTCTTTTTTCTACTGGGAGTTCCACGTTTCACTCCATTGCCGCTGCATTGTTGTACGTGGCATATGGCCTAAGAGGCGTTGGCTATGTCGACATTTGTGGAGTACAATGGAGTTGGCCCTTGGTAAACTGAAGTGCGAGTGCAGTGGCGACTGCCAACATAAGGAAGTGGGTGTGTCAGCATAACCAAGGCGCTGCTCGTCATCAGCAACAGGGCATCACCATCATCATCATCAACAGGGTGAGGTTCGACATCATCATCATGCTAATGGTCGTTATCATCATCAGGGTGCTGCTCGTCATCATCATCAGGGTGCTGCTCGTCATCATCGTCATCATTATCATCAGGGCACTGCTCGTCATCATCATTAAGGCGTAGATCTTCATATTCAGGAGGGTCATGTTCGGCATCAGCAATAGGCGCTCCTCACCAAGGGTGCTGCTCGTTAGTATCATCATCGTTATCAGGGAGCCGTTTCATCAGGGGCGCTGCTCTTTACTATCATCATCAACAAGGTAAGGTTGCCATTGTAGAGCGCTGCTTGTCAGCATAGGGAGCTGGCTCGTTATTAATATCATCAGCAATATTTTGTCATCATTGGGCGTTGTGGGCGCTACTTGTCATTATCCTCACCAGCAGCAGTTCGTCATGATAGGATGTTTGTTGGAAAATTTTGTCTACTCGTCAGCGTCATCATCATCATCAGTTCGTCATCGCAGGGCATTTGCTCGTCGTTAGGGTGCTACTTATCATCAGCATCACCATCATCACCATCATCATTTCATCATAAGTCGTTGCTCGTTATTTCATCACCATCATTATCAACATCATCATTAGGGCGTTGTCGGCGTAGCTCTCCCGGATCATCATCATCATTTAATTTAGTTCGTCTTTGTAGGGCGTTGTTAGGCCTGATCATCGTCATCATCATCATCATCATTACCACTATCATTATGTCAGTATCACCATCATCAAGTTTGTCATCATTGGGCGCTGCTCGCCTTTATCATCATCATCATTAGCTCATCATCATCATCATAGGAGCTCGTCATTAGCATCATCATCATTACAGGACGCTGTGCGTCATTATCATCATCATCACCATCATCATCATCATCATTAGCTTGTAATCATAGGGCACTGTTGGCGCTGCTTCAGTATCATCATCATCATCATTAATCTTCATAGTGCGGTGTTGAGGTTGCTCGGCATTATCATCACTATTATCATCATCATCATGGTGTTACTTGTCACTATCATCATCATCATCAGTTTGTCATCATGGGATGTTGTTCTTCAAGGCGTTGTTTGTCATCATTTTCACCGTCATCAGGTGAGTTGTTCGTCACCATCTTCATCATCATCATCTTCAGGGTGTTGTTCATCGTTTTCAGCAATTCAAAAAAGGAGTTTCTCGTTTACCTTTTCTCCATCATAAATTTCAGAAATCTCAGATTTTTCAACTCATATTCGTGTTTTTTTTCTCAACTATTGATTTCTAATTCCCCTTTGGGCGCGCTAATGAATTATTTCTGCCCGGGTGGGGTGTTGGGGTTTTAAGGAGGAAAGCTCTACTTTGCAGGGGCTTCACAAGGTGGGGGGTGAAATGCCCTGGAGGGAGTGGTAACAAATTTTGGGGGATGCCCTTTTCTGGGGCTGGGACAGACGTATGGACTGGCATCATATCCCAGTGGAGGCAGATAGGGGTGAGGGGTCGGCTGAGGCATAAATTTGGTGGAACCGGATGCCTTAGTGAAAGTGGAGGAAGCAGGTCTGTCCCAAGCTGGGGTTGATAAGGAGAGCTTGTGATCAGGGCGGTCCTTTTCGGTGGAGGCAGCAAAGCGATAGGAGGAGGAGGGGAGGGGAGGGGGGGGGGGAATAATCCACATCAACATCCGTAATTCTGATTCTCCTCTTGAACGTAATGAGTTATTTATGGTGGGGTGGTGGGGTGGTGGGGTGGTTCTGAGGGGGAGAGCTCTACTCTGCAGGGGCTCCACAAGGAGGGAGGTGGGGCAGATTTTGGGGGATGCTCTATTCTGGGGTTGGGGGAGATGTATGGGTCGGCATCATACCCCAGCGGTGGCAGATAAGGGCAAGGGGTCAGCAGAGGCATACTTTGGGTGGGAACTGGATGCCTTTGTGGGAATGGGGGGCAGACACGGGTCTGTCCCAAGTTGGGGCCGATTAGGACTGTTCGTGGTCAGAGCGGTCCTTTTGGTGGAGGCAGCGGTGGGGCAGGGGAAGAAGGGGGGGAGGGGGGACATTTCTACGTCCTGTTCACCAACATCCTTTGCTCATATTGGTTTGGACTTTTACTGTTTTCTCTGGAATTTCCAAAACAAGCACCCTTGTTATTCCTTGGTAGTTTGAAGAATCTCTCATGACTAGAACGATGCTGGTCGGAGCCGGGGTAATGCCCTGTAACTAGCCGAACATGAGGTCATCAGGCCTTGTAGAGAGATCTGGGGATGCTATGCGGGGGCATCCTAAGGGACAGCTGGGGGTCACTGACGACAACACTGGCAGGACCTGGAGTGAGTCGTGTTACTCTGTAACCTAGCAGATAGGGGGCGTAAGGCCTGGATGAGTTTGTCAGAGAATAAGTCAGTTTTGGTGAGTTTTGTTATGATCTGTTGAAAAACCCTTAGGGACTTGAGTGTTCAAAAAATTGTTGTAGCTTTCAGGAGGTGTTTAGCGACATAAAAAATAAAATAAAAAAGGATTTCGGAGATACGGGCTGTTGTTATCCTCATTCAGGATATAGGATTTCAGAGATAGTCGAATCCGGGTTGATAGCTGCATGGTTGCTTTGTTATGTGCCCCTGGTTTGGCGATGCCAGAACAACGCTGGCCGGAGCTGGGGCGTTGCCCTGTAACCTGCAAATGACAGGAATGTGAGGCTTTGTATAGAGATCTGGGGATTTGCTGAGGGAGGAAGGCAATCCAATGGCGAACTGGGGGGGCTGCCTTGAAAACCTATGGGTCCAGGGATAGTCTAGGTAGCGAAAACAAGTCAGCTACGGTTGCGTTGGCTAGGATGGCATTGTCTCTGAGATGTAATGTCCTGGTACAGGCAGGGCTAGGACTTGTTCTAGGATTAGGAGGCCAGATAAGTTTTACATACTAATCACCATTACCATTAGCATCATCATCATTAGTATCATTATCTCTCACAGTTTTCATAGCATCAGCGGAAGCTCAACATCATCATCATCATAATCATCATCATATGAGGGACGCTGAACCTGGTACTCAGCATATTCTGTTCAGTCACTCCGGGTACACTGTGAGGACCCGAGCCTCAATCTTCTTACTGGGCAAAAAAAAAAAAAAAAAAAAAAAAAAAAAAAAAAAAAAAAAAAAAAAAAAAGAAAAAAAAAGAAAAAAAAAGAAAAAAAAAAAAAAAAAAAAAAAAAGCCCCTCATCTCTTCTCATCTCCTGCTCCCGGCGGCCACATATGTTAATCTTCAACCTCACGTCCCCCGTATGCCTCCCGTAGGACGGAATGGCCTCATCCAGCGCACCCTTCTCATCCTCACGGTCCCAGGTCCAAGAGTACCTCATGTACCTTGGCCTGTAACCAAGCAGGCCATTTCGGTACGCCATAGCCACCTTCCCACTAATAGCCAGCACCCGAGACCACAACGATTGTCAGCTTCTCCGACACCCAGACTCAAGCCTGGCCGAGGCCCAAACAAGTCGCGTAGTCGCGGCTATCCAGACTACTGGATTTTCACTTAGTCTAGCCGATCGTAGAATTCACAGTCGCGCTTCCCCTTACATCATCACGGTACGCCATGCACCTTGCGCTCTATACGAGACACCTAGGGGCATTTCCATATTAACAAGGAAGCAAAGAAAAAGGAATTGAACGACATAAGAGTAATACCTCAGTGTTTAAAATAGCAAGGAAAACCCAGCGATCGCTTAAACTGGTCATTATCCAATCTTTTCAATTCACCTTGCAGAGATGTGGACCCAGTACACAACGGTCTCATAACGAGATACCGACTGTAGTACTCCCTCCCTCAAAAGAGGCCATCGAACCACCCTTTATGGGTACCCGCATCTGATGGCAAGGAGGGGGCTTATGACCCAGCGATCACTTATACTGGTCATTATCCAATCTTTTCAATTCACCTTGCAAAGACGTGGACCCAGTATTTATGACCCTTCACAGGTGGGTGATAAGCATCCTACCGCCACAGCCACGGGTGCTCCCTTTTGAGGCTCTGCAACGGGACCTCCAGCCGGCCACGTTGACTAGGACAAAGACATGAGGGGTTGGTCGGTCTAGACCAAACACACGGCTTCTAGTTAGGGATGACCCGCTCACTCCCCTCGAAGTGACAAGAGGGAACAGACGATTCAAGGGAGCCGGATAAAATGGGAGAAAAGGGAAAATCACTAGCGTCGCGGCCATTAAGACCTATCCGACCTGAATGGCGGCCCGAATTTAAAGGAGGGCCTCCATCTCCCACCTTTCTTCTTCCCCCTTCTAGTTTCCTATTCTTTGCCTTCGGGTTCAGCAACCTCACCATCTACCCCGTAATTCGGCTAAAGGTGACTCGGTGCGCAGCAGAAAGTACCACGCCGATCTGTCTAAAGCCTAGCACACCGTGAGAGTTCGTGAGCAGACACTCAGTGCACAACGGGGCGAGCAGGCATTCAGCACACAACACAGGTATGCAAGCAGGTACTTGGTAAGCTGGCATTTGGTACACAATGGAGGGCAGGGGCACCACGCCCCCCGACACCGTTCCATACTCGCTACCTGCTTGAGCCGCCCGGGTGAGTGCTGCCTCGGAGCCACGTGTGGTGTGACACACACACACACACACAATGAGAGAGAGAGAGAGAGAGAGAGAGAGACCATGCTTGGCACGCCAGAGCAACGTGGCACGCTGTTCCGATTTCGACGTCGCAGCGTCTGCCACGTTGCTTTCACATGCCATGCATGGTCTCTCTCTCTCTCTCTCTCTCTCTCTCTCTCTCTCTCTCTCTCTCTCTCTCTCTCTCTCTCTCTCT